TTCCGTCAGCTCAGTTACTAAGACCGTATATAACACTATATACAAGCCACACCAACCCGCTTCTTTAAGACTAGCCAGTTTCGGATTGATGTTGAATATCGAATTTATCAAACAAAAGTTTCAATATTTCAATAAATTTGTCGAGAGTTGTAAATCAAAAACTGAAGGTATACGTTAACTTTCATTTAAATGTGAAGACAGCAGTACATGAAAAATAATGTAAATTGAAAGCTAAATGCACTTTCCAAACATCATCCCACGTGGTAAAACCGCCGCAGCCATACTTAATATATCTTTAGGAAAAACACGTCCTCGTTTTAATTTTCCATCATCAACAAATACTGGCTTTGTAAAGTCTAGTAGTTAAATAGTTCCTGGATGGCGTACATCATATAATGTTTTTTAGTTATTGATTAAAATTAGCCAAAGAAACAGAAGATTTAACTCAAGGGAGATAATCGATTCATACCTTAATTACCGCCAGCTGATGGAATAGGGGCTCGGGGACGTTTTAACGGCCGTCACAGACTAAGATTAGACAAACTTTGTGATTCCATCATAAATCTGGACATACCATAAACCAATTTTAAGCCTTAGTCTGGCGCGAGACATTTATTCCAATCGTTTGCATATCTAGGTGTAGTCAACGACCTGTTCGCGAAATATTAGACGCTGTTATGAGTAACATGTACTGATACCCTTGTCATAAGACAAAAAATGCACCGTTACAGACCATTATTTGTATCTATAGAAGAAAAAAAAGATATTTATCCTACAGATGTTGGGTTTAGTTCTACAAAACGTGTAATTTCATGAATATCAATGCTTCATGTTCAATATGAATCCAACCGTTAAATCTTCATAGCACTATTAATGCTAAAAAAAAATTCAATTTATTTTCCAATTTTCAAATTTTTTAATGTCAGGAATACATTTCGTTTATTTTATTTTTTTTATTGATCAATAACATCAGATACTTTTTCTACAAGATATCAACCACAGGTACCAGCCTCGTCTTAGCATAACATTGTGTTTGTACGTTAAGACACGATATCAACCACAGGTACCAGCCTCGTCTTAGCACCACAATCCAATATTAGGAAACTTGTGATGGTTACTTAACTGTTATATATACCTCGCTGGGATAGTCAGAATCGACAGATAAATAAATTTTCTTTTATTTAGTAAATAATTGACTATATATATAATGCCCTAAAACCGTCGCCAGACTTTGACCGCCAAAACATCGTTAAATTGTCAGAATCCAGTTCGACGGACACTTATCTAGCAGCGAAATGAGACAAAAGATCGCCTATAAATTAGCTTAAAACAATTTAAATGCTGTTTTAAGTGTGATTTACAGAAGTCCGAAGTCAAAGTCGTCCCTTGTCAGTCGTCAGTTGTCTTGTAAACAACAGACTGATATTTTTGACTTCTCAGAAAGTCATTGACAATCTTAATGATATTTCACAAGGGTCATTTATGGCAAAAGGTGAACCAAATCTATCAATTTTATGATTCCCATTTTTCAGGGAGAAGCGGGATCAAAAGAGGCCATATCGACTCAAACTTTAAAAATCGTCTTATTGAGACAAGTGTTACTATCAAAACTATCAAATGCGCTTCACAGATGGAAGGGTCTTGAAGTGCCTACAAAATTGTGAATTTCATTACCTCAAGGGCTCACAATTCCCCTGAGGAGGGGTAAATTTTACCACGGTATATAAAGATGAACAACACAGTTGAGCATTTCTCCTTTTAATTTTCATTTTTAATAATAAAAACCAATAGAAATTATCATTATGGAATAGCATTTTGCACATTATAGATAATGACTTTTGGGACAAGTGAACGGGCTTTCAGAGGAGGTGATAACTGGTGTCATCTCCATGTGTCCGAGTGCTGCCCTTTCTCAATTATCCACTGCAAAATCCTTTATTTGTATTACATGCAGAGTGTAGTTCAAATTATCTTAATTTGCTAACAAGGTGAACTTATGACATGTTAAAATAACAAAAATGACAGCTGTTATAAAAACTCATTAGGCCTTCCAGCAGCTTGTTAATTTTTACAAGGATGCCTGATGGATTGCAAAAAAGGTGGCAGTTGTTGGCAGTGTGTCACGTATCAGAACTGTAGAATTTTTTTAGGCCTGAAACCCAATGACGTAACAAATTGTATGGTAACTGTTTATGGTTGTAAATTGTAAAACATATACTGTCTTTCAATTGAAGTATGTTACATGTATATCCTATTTTCTATGTACAGTGCCTAAGTATTGTGTGCACATCTTAACTTAGAAATAAGGTTGGACGGATGGCGCAGTGGTAACGCACTCGCCATTCACCTAGACGTATGGCCTGACCACGTGGGTTTTTCTCGGGTACTCCGGTTTCCTCCAAAAGTAAGACCCCACGTGCGCTTACATCCGGGCCAAAAAGAGTAATTGATATAAGATAGGATAACTTGTTTCGCAACTGTTAAAATAAATTAAATTTAAATTTAAATAAAATAAAATGTCAACAGTAAATATCCAAACTACTAAGGTTCCGATCTGTTAGAAATCTGTGTTTAGATGGTTGTCCTTTTGCAAGGCATATAAACTGTACCTTAATAATTGCTGTTAAAGGCTTGTAATGGGCCTCCCGCATGTTGTTTAGTGTGGTCAGGACCAAAAGTCAGGAGAGTCCACCTCTCAGTGTTTATGTTAAATCATTAATTTTTGTGGGAGATTATTTTCATTGATTTATTGGGTAATCTTATTTTCACAAATCCATATATCAATGAACTATTAAAATAAGTTTAAGTAGATTTAATGTTTAATTCAATTTAACTTAGAAATAGGAATTCTGTTGAACAATTATATAAAATGAGTAAAAAGATATGGTATCTATGTACAGTAAAGCACGTGACTTCGGCACTTTATGATGGTGGCGCACGGTCTGGTAATGGTTTACAATGTTAGGTATGAAGATCTACATTCTTTACTAGTGTGTCACCCTCATTCTGGTATAATAGCTTATAACTTAAATTTTAAATATTATCTGAAATGTTTTGTGTGTAAAATATTGTCATTCTGCCGATAACTAATGTTTTACATTACCGATTTTTAAAGTTTTGAGATAGTTGAACTTTCGGGGTCTCTTATTGGCTTAACGACACATCTTTATTAAATTTTACTGATAGAATAAATGTTTTCTTTAGCTATGTGTAAAAAGTGTAGATATTACTTATATAGATGACAACGAAAAGCATTCTTATTTTTTTTCTTCAACTTGACCTCTGAAGTTTGACCTCTGTTAATCTGCACATACCAGGCCCTTAAATAATGTTTATTCACATCCCGGTACAGCAGATAAATTCAAAATCAATCGGAGCCAAGCCTGAACTGGACCCAATTATACTGGACGCAATACTTTTGGATATCGAATAATTTAGAAACTCTAGTTCACTTTTTCCTTTTTTATACGTCTGATTTTCGTCTTTTATTACTCGTAGCTATTGAATGATATTGAGTTACATTCATAAATCTGTGACACTTGTCAAACACGTAGAATATTTTTACTTTTTTTTTAGGCTTGTCAATACTTGACTATCTTTTCCTGCCGGAAGCGACAAGTAATGTAAACGACATTTCATACTTGACGAGAACCGATTGTTCAGAAGGAGAGTCAAAATCAGTTTTAAACCCTGCATGAAAAAAAAATTGATAATGCCCACACGTATAACACGACATTTTGTACAACATCAGTGACAATGGTTGTTGCAAAGATACCTTCGCATGAAAAGGTCATGTGACCGATATAAACAAGAGGCCCATGGGCCTTAACGGTCATCTGATGAAAAACATATTTGACCCCTGTGACCTTGAAAGTGGGTTGAGGTCATTCATTTGAATAAACTTGGTAGCCTTTCCTCCCAGCATGCTACCTTCGGCACTCAAGGTCATGTGATTTTGACATATTTGACCCCTGTGACCTTGAAAGTTGTTCAAGGTCATTCATTTAAACACCGATATAAAAAAGTAAACGCTTCTATATAGGTTCGGGTTTTCCTTCGCATGGAAATGTCATGTGACCGATATAAGAAAGGTACCTTGGCATGGAAAGGTCATGTGACCGATATAAGAAATATGAAAATACCTGAATAGACTTTTAATTAGAAATATATGGAAAGTTGCGAATGTTTTAAGTCGTTAATCAAGCCACTCTCATGTTTTCCACGAAACGAGACAAGACGCTTACTATTCCGGAACCTTTCGCATGTTTCTCTTTGTGCCTTCTTTTCATGAGTAAATAAAGAAAACGCATATCCTTCTGAAACACTTTGTTCTTTTTCACATGCAATGGAGAATCTCCATGTACCTTCCTTCACATATCCTGAAGACGCTTACCCTTCAGGAACTCCATGCCTTTTATGTGCCTTCATCCATATGTAAATGAAATGGATGATGCTTATCCTCCGGATGCTCCGTTGTTTACCTTGCCTGTTTTCTAAGGTCTTCGTTTTTTTCTTTCGATAAGATGTTGTCCTAATTGCTATGTACATGTCAGAAAAATATTAAATTTTTTCTTCTTTGACTCGCCTCCTTTCCGCCTTTTTATGATATATACTTTCGTGTGCAGTTCATTGACATTATTAAGAATCTTAAAAAATAATTCATACATTACACATGTATGTATCTACCTTCGTTTAACGGTAGAAAAAACACCATAGTAACGGCACCAAAACACAGAGAAAATAATTGGTAAAAGGAATATTTCATTTTAAAAAAATCAACTTTCCTGAAGGCTTCTTATATCTCTGTTGACTGTTGTGGTTGTGTCCATAATTGTTGTTTTGAATAGCATGTCGCGGGCCTCCTGCATGCTGTTCAGTGAGGCAGCCACCAGCTTATACTCGCGGACCCCGTCTCTAATGACCCTGGGTGTTGACGGAGCGATAAACCTCCAAGCAAATGGTTATGAGTGAAAGAAAGCTGACAGTGTCGGAAACTGATTTCATGACGTATAGGAATAGCTCGAATTCGTCTCATTGCTTCCATACAGCATACAATCTGAGTCTTGAGCACGCTTGAACCAGTCAACTACTTTCTCATAACCGGAATTGGATTCCAGGGACGATAAGCTTTTTAAAGATCCCTTATTCATCTGAGTGACTTTCAGTGGTGACGGTATGGGTGTTTTAACTTTAGAAGCCACTGGGCATTCAAAGTCCCACTGAAAATGAACAAAACCACCTTTTTATACAATTCTGAATATAGATAAGTCAACAAACTTATGTATAAAGGAAAAGGCCGGGTTTAAATCTATATTAACGAAAAGCATTCCTTTCTTCAGATACTTTTGGACAGGCTTTTGATAAACATCTCCAGTCACAACACTTTTATTACAGATTATAAGAATATTATTCAGAAATTAGATTTCGAACGATTATAATGATATGATACTATAATTGTACCTCTAAGTCCTGTTCTGACGACGTATCTGCTGGACTGTCGCAGTATGTGTACCTGAACAGCTGTTTTTGACCAGTATTGTACATCACAGAGGTACTTGGTGAAGGGACAGCGGCGTAGGAATCGCCCAAATCTTGCTCAGAAGTCTGAAATAAAATGTTTGAATTCCAAAGCTAAAGCAATCTGAAAGAGTAGAATTCATAACTACATTGGGATTAAAATTGAAGAAACGAACGCCCATGTCCAAAGGTACCACAAAGTGCTAATTACACACCTGTGGATATATTGCCGAACTGGTGTGTTACGTCTGTAAATTTGTTGCTGAACAGACGCATCGCACGCGTGAATTCTAATGCCGAACTGATGCATTATACCGGTGAATTAAAATGCCGAACTGATGCATGATACATGTGAAAAATTGCCGAACTAATGCATCATACATGTGGAAAAATTGCCGAACTAATGCATTACACCTGTGAATCTGTGAATTAAATGCCGAACTGATGCATCATACCTGTGAATAAATTGCCGAACTAATGCATTACACCTGTTAATGCCGAACTGGTGCGTTACGTATGTGAAGCTCTGAAACCTGCTAATGATAGTTGCCTAACCCCAAATCTACGTATTTCGGTCATTAGACAGGTTCCATATTCACGTGATACAGTTTGTTTATCGCCCTGCTCATATCTGTATGACGAGTCGGGAATGCTCATCACGCTGTATTTGATTAGTGCGCGTGCAGACGTCAGACTTCTCTTTCCTCGCCTTATGTTCCGGGCATTGTACATGAACACTACAAATTAAATATCTGCAGAGCACGTGACAATCTTCATTACACGAGAACCCCATAAAATCGTCCCATGTTTCTCTTCTGAGTTTGAACTTTTGACCTTTGTATTACAACTAATTGGCGATATTTTACAAATGAAATTTTCAATTACAGTCACAAAGTCTATGTGTGTTTGTTACCACCTCCCATCACTATTGTTCCGAGTTACAATCAATTACATTACCTCCTGACGAAAGTAAGACCTGGTCCATATCACGTGATCCGAGTTGATGTGTGGGACGTTGTAATAAACCATCTGTGTTTGATGCAGACAGAAAGAATCCGGTTGCCCGCGACAAAATATCTCCGCGTGCGTGGGAGCTTGGTATGACAGTGTTGGAAACAGCGGAAATACAACACTGATTCAGAGTGATGTTTCATCAAACTTGTTTAAACACCTGTTTAGTCAGGTGACGTGTGTCAATGTCCAATGATTAAAAGGCATTTCACTATCGGATCATACTGCTGTTGTTGGTATTGTCCAAAGATTACGGAACATAATTTTACAAAGTCACATTGAGACACAAAGTCACACTGGGCAGTTTGTCCAATGATTAGGGGACATATCTTTACAGAGTCACACTGAGTGTTATTGTCCAATGATTGGGGGACATATCTTTACAGAGTCACACTGAGTGGTATTGTCCAATGATTAGGGGACATATCTTTACAGAGTCACACTGAGTGGTATTGTCCAATGATTAGGGGACATAATTTTACAAAGTCACATTGAGACACAAAGTCACACTGGGCAGTTTGTCCAATGATTAAGGGACATATCTTTACAGAGTCACACTGAGTGGTATTGTCCAATGATTAGGGGACATATCTTTACAGAGTCACACTGAGTGGTATTGTCCAATGATTAGGGGACATATCTTTACAGAGTCACACTGAGTGGTATTGTCCAATGATTAGGGGACATATCTTTACAGAGTCACACTGAGTGGTATTGTCCAATGATTAGGGGACATATCTTTACAGAGTCACACTGAGTGGTATTGTCCAATGATTAGGGGACATATCTTTACAGAGTCACACTGAGTGGTATTGTCCAATGATTAGGGGACATATCTTTACAGAGTCACACTGAGTGGTACTGTCCAATGACTAGGGGACATATCTTTACAGAGTCACACTGAGTGGTATTGTCCAATGACTAGGGGACATATCTTTACAGAGTCACACTGAGTGGTATTGTCCAATGATTGGGGGACATATCTTTACAGAGTCACACTGAGTGGTATTGTCCAATGATTGGGGGACATATCTTTACAGAGTCACACTGAGTGGTATTGTCCAATGATTAGAGGACGTATCCTCACAAAGTCACACTTTGGTCAAGTCGTTTTGTCCAGTTTCGTTGAAAAATCAGTGTATTATGATATTTTTATACATTGTGTCCTGGAATATTTACGTATTTATACGTTGTGTTGAAGTTCGAACGATTTGATATGTTTTGTTTGTATACACAAAAACATATGACAATATTGTGGAACATTGTATATGCACGTGCTGATTTGATATATTTGTAAATGTTCACAGAATTTGTGCCAGATTAGCCCTTCATCATTAGATGGCGGGCTACTGAAACCGATCTGCGTTCGTCCTCTGTCAATATGTCCTTAAGTAATTCTTCTAATTAGTATTCCTGGAGAGGCATGTGTGGATTATTCTCAAATTTTATATGCAGGTTTCTTTTGGTTTCCAGATGTGCAAAGTTACAAACTTTACCGGAGCAAATAAACATCAGACAACGCCGGTCACCTAGAAACTACACATAATCGTTGTCACCAGGTAAGTGATGGCGCTGCGACGTCAAGATCACTGATTGGTTAATGAAGGTAGCGTGTGGAGAGGTTACGTAAGTTAACACTTTTTCTGATCTAAAGTCGTAATTTGTTGAAAGTGTGAACCCCCCAGGACTTGGTCACTTCCGCACCAGGGGAGACTTACATTTCCTGAATTAGATGGTCAGGCCTAAAGACCGCTTGCATTTAAGGCAAACCTTGTTAGCTTTCAAATGCTATATCAAATTAACAGCAGCTTCAGTGCAACGGAATAATTACTATTATAATTATTAATGAAAACAATGATAAGGGTCCGAAAAAGATTTGATAATATTATGCATTTTTTTCTATAACATGCAGAAGAAAATATTGAAAGTATTTACGAAAATACGAATGAAGCTTCCCGATCTTTTGGATCCGGTATACTATTGACCTCTTCGATTAGCTGTACAGTGTTATTACTGATTGTCCACGAAAGCCAATTAGATTTGTTCAAACAGTTCATTACCGAACCGAAAAAAGGAATAGAATGTCTATTTTTGTTAACACGTGAAATATCATTGAAACAATTGTGTTGTAAATAACAATATTGTTTGTGCGAGTTATGTCATAGCGAAAAGTTAATTTCAACAATGAATATTGTGTTGATTTCGTAGAAATAGGGAGCTTATCTCTAATGTATATAATGACACCGTCGTACGGTCGTACACCAATCCACCAGATCATAGTTTACATATATACTTAACACTATTTTTTGCACAGTAAGAAATTGCTGTCCTCCTCAAGGGTGAAATTTGTCATCAACGTTGGAATTATGGATTGAATAGTACAACAAGTTGGGTGAACATGGGGCGAACATGACATAAGTAAATGAACCACGAAATCGAGTAATATGTTGGGGTGAATAGGGATTTGAGGTCGAATTTTGCGAGTAGAGAGCACTGAGTTGAACATACACACTAGCTGAATTGAACTGAAGGCAAACAGTCCAAGAGAGAAAATGTAACATACAGATGTACGACTAAATAAATCACGGGAGCCGAATGAAATGTTAAGATAGTTGAGTAACTTTAGTGAATCAAGAAAGTTGACGACTTCAAAACACCGCTATTAAATTTTCTTTTTTGTCTTCTCGTTTTCGTAAGGCCTATCACTTCCAGTGAAAAAGGAGAACTATTATTTCTACCTAAAACTCTTTAGGCTATAAATAGTCACAAATTCTCGCGGTTTTGACCAATAGAAATCTGGAAATATCTCACCCAGATGTGCATACCTGTGAGTTATCGCCCCTGTTTACATCGCCATCTCCATCACACGTCATTGGCGGAAACTCTAACGTCACAGCATCACGTTCAGCGTCGCTGATATCAGAGTCAGATGTTGTACTGCAACGATAGACAAAATACACGCGTTCATGTATAATATACAATAACTGACCGTGATTAAGGTTCACACAAGAATTTATAAATCTTGGAAAGTTATATCCTACCTGTGATTATCCTACCTATGATTATCTTACCTGTGATTATCTTACCTGTGACTATCTTACCTGTGATTATCTTATCACTGATTATCTTACCTGTGGTCATGTTACCTGTGATTATCCTACCTCTCTACCTGTGATTATCTTACCTGTGATTATCCTACCTGTAATTATCCTACCTGTGACTATCCTACCTTCCAACCTGTGATTATCTTACCTGTGATTATCCTACCTTCCTACCTGTGATTATCTTACCTGTGATTATCCTACCTGTGATTATCCTACCTGTGATTATCCTACCTTCCTACCTGTGATTATCTTACCTGTGATTATCCTACCTGTGATTATCCTACCTGTGATTATCTTACCTGTGATTATCCTACCTGTAATTATCCTACCTGTGGTTATCCTACCTTCCAACCTGTGATTATCTTACCTGTGATTATCCTACCTGTGATTATCCTACCTTCCTACCTGTGATTATCCTACCTGTGATTATCCTACCTGTAATTATCCTACCTGTGATTATCCTACCTTCCTACCTGTGATTATCTTACCTGTGATTATCCTACCTGTGATTATCCTACCTGTGATTATCTTACCTGTGATTATCCTACCTGTAATTATCCTACCTGTGATTATCCTACCTTCCTACCTGTGATTATCTTACTTGTGATTATCCTACCTGTGATTATCCTACCTTCCTACCTGCGATTATCTTACCTGTGATTACCCTACCTGTGATTATCTTATCTGTGATTATCTTACCTGTGATTATCCTACCTGTGATTATCCTACCTGTGATTATCTTACCTGTGATTATCTTACCTTCCTACCTGTGATTATCTTACCTGTGATTATCCTACCTAAGATTATCCTACCTTCCTACCTGTGATTATCTTACCTGTGATTATCTTACCTGTGATTATCCTACCTTCCTACCTGTGATTATCCTACCTTCCTACATTTTATTATCTTACCTATGATTATCTTACCTGTGGTTATGTTACCTGTGATTATCTTACCTATGATTATCTTACCTGTGATTATCTTACCTGTGATTACCCTACCTGTGATTATCTTACCTGTGATTATCTTACCTGTGATTATCTTACCTGTGTTTATCTTACCTGTGATTATCCTACCTGTAATTATCTTATCACTGATTATCTTACCTGTGGTTATGTTACCCGTGATTATCCTACCTCCCTACCTGGGATTATCTTACCTGTGATTATCCTATTATCCTTCCTGTGATTATCCTACCTTCCTACCTGTGATTATCTTACCTGTGATTATCTTACCTGTGATTATCTTACCTGTGATTATCCTACCTGTGGTTATGTTACCTGTGATTATCTTACCTGTGATTATCTTACCTGTGATTATCTTACCTATGATTATCTTACCTATGATTATCTTACCTGTGATTATCAAACCTGTGATTATCTTATCACTGATTATCTTACCTGTGGTTATGTTACCTGTGATTATCCTACCTCCCTACCTGTGGTTATCTTACCTATGATTATCTTACCTGTGATTATCAAACCTGTGATTATCCTACCTGTGGTCATGTTACCTGTGGTTATCTTACCTGTGATTATCTTACCTATGATTATCTTACCTGTGATTATCTTACCTGTGATTATCCTACCTGTGGTTATCTTACCTGTGATTATCTTACCTGTGATTATCCTACCTGTGGTTATCTTACCTGTGATTATCTTACCTGTGATTATCTTACCTGTGATTATCCTACCTGTGGTTATCTTACCTGTGATTATCCTACCTGTGATTATCTTACTTGTGATTATCCTACCGGTGATTATGTTACCTTTGATTATCTTACCTTTGTAGTATGGCAGTGTATCCCCCGTCAGTGACGTCACCTTTCCACGTGCAGTAGAGCATACTTCCCTGTAGAATGACCTGTTTGGTCAAGGACTCAAGTACAATGTAATTACTCTGTCGTATTCCAAAACACTTATATCAATATAAATAAACCCTTTCAACATCATCCCGACATACTGAGTTACTTCCCTTTGTTCGTTTTTTATAGCGATTACATGTAGCTTGACAGTACGGGCCGAGATTGGTACAAAACCGCTTCAGCCTAGTAGGGGCCGAGATTGTCACAAAACCGTTAAAAACGTATGACAAATGTATCTAGTCAATCTATTTTACATCGTATGATGTTTATCAAATTTATCTGAGACCGGATTACATCTAAACAAGGACTATTTGCATGACCTATATATAAGACCTATATAGATATTAACTATATTTATTTTACAACAATTCTGAAACAAGTTATTTCATCTTATACTTATCACTCATGTAGTGGTCTTACTGTGAGAGGAAACCGGAGTACCCGGGGAAAATCCACGTGATCAAGCAAATAACCCATGACCTTTGCACGTCCGCTCGGGTAATCGAACCCGGGACGTGGAAAGGCGAGTGGGTTACCATTATGGGACCACCCTGAACGGGCAATTGGATTGATAAGTTCCTTTTAACAATATTGATGTTTTATGATGAAGGATACACCAACATGGATTCCGGCGACGCCCAGTCTGAAAGTGGAAATCATTTCAAATAGTTAGTACCAAGGTAACGTTTGAATTAACTACGTACGTTATATTTTTATTACTGGTAACAAGTTCAACAAACATCTTCCACAGATCTTGGGGTTGGGGCGAGGAGGGTGTTTGTGTGATGTCCTTTTTTGTTGTTAATTAATCCGTTGTGATTCCCAGTTTTGACCTTGCATGACCTTGTTATGTTAATGGATTGTAAACACAACCGTGTGTTACGTCGTTTAGTCACCCTTTTGACCCCATATGACCTTGCTGTGTTGATGAGTCGTTTAGACACCCTTTTGACCCCATATGACCTTGCTGTGTTGATGAGTCATTTAGTCACCCTTTTGACCCCATATGACCTTGCTGTGTTGATGAGTCGTTTAGACACCCTTTTGACCCCATAAGACCTTGCTGTGTTGATGAGTCGTTTAGACACCTTTGACCCCCATATGACCTTGCTGTGTTGATGAGTCGTTTAGACACCCTTTTGACCCCATAAGACCTTGCTGTGTTGATGAGTCATTTAGACACCCTTTTGACCCCATATGACCTTACTGTGTTGATGAGTCGTTTAGACATCCGTTTGACCCCATATGACCTTGCTGTGTTGATGAGTCGTTTAGACAACCTTTTGACCCCATATGACCTTGCTGTGTTGATGAGTCGTTTTAATAACCGTTTGACCCCGTATGACCTTGCTGTCTTGATAGGTCGTTGGGACATTCATGTGTACTTACTGACTTTTTATGTCCTTACTCTTACCATGCTGAATGCCGTGTGGTCCCGCATGACCATATTTGGAACTACAATTTGGCCTTTTCATTCACTTATTTCCTAATATTATTGGAATCTTTTTAAAGCTCACAAACAAACATGTAACATATATAGATGTCTTCAGAAAATTTCGTTTTCAATTCACCTTGCAAGGATCCAAGGTAACGTGTGAAGAATGAAGTCACGTGACTGGTTGTATGATAACAGGCCGGTGACGTAAAATCCCTCGGCCAAGATGGCGACGAAGTGAAGCACGACCCGGATGTAGATGTATGAATGCGGTCGATACTACTAAATAAAAAACAAAGTCGATATAGATAACATATAACACAGAAGCTGATTGGATTATTACAGCTGATATAGATCATGGTCACTGATTGGCGGATATGTCGTTGTTTAAAATTCTGAAGTTCAGAACATGCAAGCAATATCGATGAAATTAACATTAAACAATAATAACATTATATATAATAGATAATTAAGACCTTGATTAGTGTTATGTATATCGCCAAAGTTTCGAATTTTACTACAAAGAACAGCAAACACGAGAATTTCAATGAATATTCTAGAATGCAAGAGGCCCAAACACGCCTGAATCGCTGAGCTGTTCATTTAGGTTAAAAAAGACGACATCGACGGTAACGTAAATTTCTGTAAACCTGAAAGTTTATTTCCTATTGCAACACTAATACCATTAACGATAGTCTAATGCTTAAGGAAAAGAACCCTGAGACATTGAAAATGGGTCAAGGTGATCCATCATTTGAACAAACTTCCCTTTCATCCGAACATAATACCGGCCCAATATCATGACCCTTGGCTTCTTGGTTGAGAAGAAGTTGTTTAAAGATTTTAAAATATTTGACCCCTGTTACATTGAAAGTGGGTGAAGGTCGTCAATTTGAACAAACTTAGTAGCCCATCTTCCCAACATGCTTTTGAACCTCTATTGTTTTAAGGAAAAAGACTGACTATAGACGACGGACGCCGTACCTTAGCACGAGCTCACTTGCCTTTGAAGTTAAGTTAGAAATGATGTAACGATTGGATAAGTTATCAATCATTCAGTTCGGAACTAAACCAACACATACCGAATCTGAAATATAGACTTACAAAATGGATGACCTCTCTGAGCTTGGTCAGCCAAGTCAGTCCAGTCGAGACAGCTCCGAAAACGTAGCCTATCACAATGTATATCCACGGCGATACCTATAAATAGAATACAGGAATCACGTAAAACGAATCTGGGGCGACACCTAGATATATCCGGAGCGACATCTATGAATAAAAATCAAAACATAATACGGGGATTTCCTCAAATACATCCAGGATTGGGGGAGGGAAAGAAAAGACGGGAAGGCTCTTAATGAGGAAAAGAAAATACTACAGGGTAATTTTACATAAATCCTCTTTCTCTCAACAAAAACGGTGTAATCCCCAGGCATAAACAAGACTGTTCCACTGACGTTACGAAAATATTATGTTAACCGAAAACCTAGACATTTTACGTCTGTTTTTCGGATATAAAACAATGTTTTCATTTGAAATATGTCTCCTGCTTTCTGTAACTAATTTTAGCAATAGCAATCATTAAAGCCCGAGGTCATTTGATACTAATTAAACCACACCACTAGTACACAATGCTATAACATTCATGCTTTCTATTCACTTTATTTTCATCGTTTCTGTCGCGTTGTAACCATCAGTACATTGTGCTGGTGTTTCCCGCTGTCAACATCAGCAGATCAGAGGGGAAAAGGAGGTCATGAGCATGTGCACCGGAGGTGTCCCGGATGTGTAGTGTCCCGGATGCGTAATGTCCCGGATGATGATCAGTGGTTCGGGACCACGACAAGCATGGACCACGATCGCGCAACCTTTTTCAATACACTTCTACCGGTATTAGATCCACGAGTTTGGTGACACGACGTAAGAGAGATACCAAGTGTCGTCAAAATCAATAAAAAGAAGGCATTTTTAAATCATCTAGGCAACATTTCGTCAATTGTGAAATGAAATCAAAATTTCTTTTCTCTTTCCAGATAACTCGATCTATTGAATCTACCAGTCCATTCTAAAAATTAGATTTCTGAAAAGAAAAATCACCGCTTTCACTGTGAATATTGATTAATCAATTACTGATTGTTTCTTCATAATCATTCACACTCTGAAAATGTCTTGTAATTTAGATATTTACATGAGAAAATAATTGATTTCTTGACATTTTATTACTTTGAAGTGACCCCTGTTTGTTTGTTAACGAAGGTCTCTATACAACACTGTAGTTATGTCGGGCAGCTACTACAGTAATGTATACGATAACGTCAGTGTTTTCGACTTTTAAACAGACAACAGCAGATCAATCTGTCCAGCCTTCTCTCGAGATCTGGTCTAATCCCGAAAGGTCTGACAGTGGCTGAGCTCTTGTTTTTATTCAAGATAAAGAGATAAATGAACTCATGTTTCACTGTCCCTGTCCCCCGCATACACTCACTGAATACAATCAAATTCTGCTGTTTCAGAGGTTAGAACGGATCGAGGATACATTGCTCCACCGGATTATATAAAGTAAACCTTGCTACAAATAAAGATCTTACATATATAGTAAACATTGGTTAACCGGATTGTACAGGTAAACCTTGGTAAATCGGATTGTACAGGTAAACCTTGGTAAACCGGATTGTACATGTAAACCTTGGTAAACCGGATTGTACAGGTAAACCTTGGTAGACAGGATTGTACAAGTAAACCTTGGTAAACCGGATTGTACATGTAAACCTTGGTAAACCGGATTGTACAGGTAAACCTTGTTAAACCGGATTGTACAAGTAAACCTTGGTAAACCGGATTGTACAGGTAAACCTTGGTAAACCGGATTGTACAAGTAAACCTTGGTAGACAGGATTGTACAAGTAAACCTTGGTAAACCGCATTGTACAGGTAAACCTTGGTAAACCGGATTGTACAGGTAAACCTTGTTAAACCGGATTGTACAGGTAAACCTTGGTAAACCGGATTGTACAGGTAAACCTTGTTAAACCGCATTGTACAGGTAAACCTTGGTAGACCGGATTGTATAAGTAAACCTTGGTAAACCGGATTGTACAGGTAAACCTTGTTAAACCGGATTGTACAAGTAAACCTTGGTAGACCGGATTGTACAAGTAAACCTTGGTAAACCGGATTGTACAGGTAAACCTTGGTAAACCGGATTGTATAACTGAACCTTGGTAGACCGGTTTGTACATGTAAACATTGGTAAACCGGATTGTACAGGTAAACCTTGTTAAACCGGATTGTACAAGTAAACCTTGGTAGACCGGATTGTAAAAGTAAACCTTGGTAAACTGGATTGTACAGGTAAACCTTGTTAAACCGGATTGTACAAGTAAACCTTGGTAAACCGGATTGTACAGGTAAACCTTGGTAAACTGTATTGTACAATTAAACATTGGTAAACCGGATTGTACAGATAAATCTTGGTAGACCGGATTGTACAGGTAAACATTGGTAAAGCGGATTGCACATGTAAACCTTGGTAGGCCGGATGGTACAGGTAAACATTGGTAAACCGGATTGTACAGGTAAACCTTAGTAAACCGGATTGTATAACTGAACCTTGGTAGACCGGTTTGTACATGTAAACATTGGTAAACCGGATTGTACATGTAAACCTTGGTAGACCGGATTGTACAGGTAAACCTTGTTAAACCGGATTGTACATGTAAACCGGATTGTACAGGTAAACCTTGGTAAACCGAATTGTATAACTGAACCTTGATACTCCGGATTGTATAAGTAAACTTTGCTACTCCGGATTGCACAGGTAAACATTGGTAAACTGGATTGTACAAGTGAACTTTTGTACTCCGGATTGTACACTAAACTTTAGTAGACAGGATTGTACAAACAAAACCTTTGTGAACAGAATTGTACAAGTGAACCTTGCTACTCCGGATTGTACATGTAGACCTTGCTGTTACGGATTATATAACCGAACCTTGCTCCTCCGGATTATATAATCGAACCTTGCTACTCCGGATTATATAATCGAACCTTGTTCCTCCGGATTATATAATCGAACCTTGCTCCTCCGGATTATATAATCGAACCTTGCTACTCCGGATTATATAACCGAACCTTGCTACTCCGGATTATATAACCGAACCTTGCTACTCCGGATCATATAATCGAACCTTGCTACTCCGGATTATATAACCGAACCTTGCTACTCCGGATTATATAACCGAACCATGCTACTCCGGATCATATAATCGAACCTTGCTACTCCGGATTATATAACCGAACCTTGCTACTCCGGATTGTATAACCGAATCTTGCTACTATGAATTGTACATATAAACCTTGCTAGTACACCGGGTTGTAGATGTATATGTAGGTAGCCATATTCTTTACTGTAAAATCGATCAAAGTATCGTTATACCGTTGAATAACTAGATCCTTCATCAGATAATGGGTCCTGTTTCTTCATCGCGGATTGATAAGGCTTGTTCTGTTGTCGCAGCATAGCAACCGTTACTATGGAAACGACGGAGCAGATGAACATGGCGGCGATACACGAGGTTTGTTTAGTGCAACATAGGCGAGCGCATGTGCAACGAATCTTCCTCTCCCCTGTATCTGAAAGCACACGAAATATATATCTTTTAAAACATCGTCCCGTAAGGATTGTTAAAGATACCAAGATAAGTCAAAGAGGAACCACAAACAGCATCCTGTTCACTGCTCTTTGCCACAAGTTCTATTATTTTATACCCAAATCCCAGTAACAATCTACCACACGACCTTATAACAAATGTAAATAATAGGTATGTACAAAAACACACTTCCTCCTTCCACCAGACACTTAATTCATCGGAAATAAAGCAGAATAAACCAAGACAAGATGGATGATAATTTCAATTTTATCGACGACATCCGTCAAATAT